CAAAATCAGCTGAAAGAGGCGTTCTGCTTACTTTGAACTATGCAGTTAAATGAATTCGGGGATCAATATAGGGACGATTGAGCTCAAAACTTTGTCGTAAATTATCATAAAAGCGAAGGTTAACATTTTTATCCCCTCTGTTTTGTAAATCATTTTTTTTTAAATTTGTTAAGAGCACGTGGTATTATTGTCACAATTTATAAATCTGTTCGGTGTTATCACTGTTTAAATAGATGAATAACAGCAGGGCGCTTTCGTCTATATTCTTCTGGAATTTACTCTTCTGCATACTAGTATATATTAAAAAATAGATTGTTACAAGTTATACACACCAAGACGCAAAACAGCTGGACCTCTATCGATATCATACCAAAAATGTTGGAGATGAATTTCGACTATTTGATTTAATTCATGCTGTGAATACAGACATATATTTTAGAGCTATTAACTGTCTTTGGCGATCACAGATGTGAAAAACAAGGCTGATTGCATGATAAAGTCTCTCAGTCGACATGCAGTAGTAGATCTCTAGTTTTCATAATATAGTAATTAATTTATAATTCTTTGTTTTCATTTATTAAATGCAGATTCACAAAAAAGAAATAATAATAAGGAATTTGAAAATGAACTTTGAAGAGAATGTAACAAATTTGCTACTTTGATAAGGCTCTGAAAATATGGAGAGATGAGAAAAGAAAAATGTGTTAATCTTAAGTATAAATATTATGTAAATAAACTATGCAAGAAATGAAATAGCTTAAACCTAAGTCTATTAGTTTAAAACTTTAGATTGACAATGTACGTATAATTTTGTTTTCCAGGTAGAGATTTATATGCCTTGCAATTGGAAAAAAATAAAATAATTATTTTATTTAAATATCATACCTTTTTGTCTCTTTAAGTATTCTTAGAATATAAATTTATTTAAGGTATATACATTAACATTTTTTTTTTTTAAGTTTAAAAAATGATCAATTTTCTTAAGGTATTTCGAGTCTACAATGCTTCATATGATTAAATGAAATAAATTATACCAAATTGAGTTTAGTTGGAAAAAAATGTCGAAATGGGCCTGCTCCCCCCCCCCCCAAAAAAAAAACAAAGAGAGGGTTTGTTTTTATTGTATTAAATGTTAGCTGCATCAGTGATTAATGTGGTTCCGGGGCCATAAAACTTAGACGAGCTCATTTTTGATCCCAGTCTCAATTTTGATCCCAGTCTCACTTTTACAAAGGAATCGTTAGCGGAAAAGTGAAACTAAGATCAAGAGTAAGCTCATCTAAGTTTTATGGCCCCGGGGACTGGAATTTCAAAGACATATGACACATGGTTCCAGGCCCCCCCCCCTTTTTTTTTTTTTTACACATTCATATGGTAAAGATTCTTTTTTTTTTTGTTGGTATTTTCGCTTTTGTTTAAAAGTAACTAGTTCAGTTTTTATAGATCAAATAAGTTACAAAATGCATTTGTCGTATTGCTCACTTTTTGCTTTCCAATGGTTTTCATTGGAGGTTGTCTTTTGATGTAAGGTTTTGTATATGCCAGTAAACTTTGGGATATATTTCACATTGTACTGGAAGACATCACATCGATTCAGTACTTTGATGTTAATGCCACACTGCTAGACTACAGCGTTTGAAAGACCTGATTTTAAGCTTACGCTATTTACAATCTAGCTAAAGCTAAATGTTCTGTCCGCAGCATATCTGGATTGCAGGAATCACAAAGCAAAATAAATAACACTCGAGCAAAAATGCGTCGTTATTCTGGTTGTTCTCTGAAGCATCCACTCGTTGACCACAGTTATGTTAAGCCTTGTGCACCGTGAGCACTTTTTAAAAATCACTAAGTTGTTTGATTGGCATTATATTTAGCTTTGTATTTTACGATTAAATGTTGCGTTTTAGGGGTTCAAACCCCGTAAGCCACTGGCCTACGTCGATAAAAAGGTAACAAATGTTCTTTCGCTAAGCGCTCGGTACTTTAAAGTGAAAGTTGAGGGTCTTTTGGGTGAGACCTTAAAAACCGAGGTCCTGTGTCACAGCAGGCGATGGCACGATAAAATTTCTTCACTGCTCAATGGAACGGAGTGCCGAGTAATGGTCTAGATTTGAAGCCCTTAAAGATATATGGTGACGTCTCTATGTTGGTGAAAAATTCTCGAACGTTAAACAACATGCAATCAATCTCAAAGATATGTTGGCGGTCAATTTTCTTTGATTTTTTTCATTTTAGCAATTTTATTGATAAAATTTCCAAAGTAACTATGTGCATTACCAAATATCGTTTATAATATGCTCTCTGGAGAAAATTGTGAGATTTAATATAAAAGAGGGTGATCGTGCATTTAGGGACATTTCACAAATTCTGTAAATTTCAAGCAATTTTAATTCTTTGATGTGTGAGACATCTTAATTAGAGCGACCTATAGATATCAACATTTAAAAAGTGCGTGCACTATATCCTTACGTAAACTTTCATTCTTAATTCAATTGTGACTTGAAATTCATTTGAAGCTGACCAAAAAAAAATTATAAACCATAAGTACCGTCGTATAACTTAACCCATCCCTGACTTTGAGGCGACCATCACCATGATTATCTGGAATCTGATATTTCTCAGAAAATTTCAGTTTTTCTCACTAACCAGTGCCACTAAAATTTGAGTTTTTCAAGTGTGCGATTTTATTCACCAACAAGAGCGCCACGGTTTTTTTTTTATTTTTGGAGGGGGGGGGGGGGGTTGCAGCTGAGATAAAATGAAGGTTTTTCATGCAATCATGAAATTAGTAAATAGAAACCTCAGATAAATCCTACATGATTATGTTACGGGTAAAATAATCGTAAATGGTACCGATACATGTACACTACTCATATCTTTTCCATGAAGAATTTTATATATATATATATATATATATATATATATATATATATATATATATATATATATATATATATATATATATATATAACTATCTTGAAGATTAACAGATATTTTTTCTTTACTTTTATCATTCTTATTATTAACTTTCGAGCATACATCCATAATTTGAGTATACAAGTAAATTTCATCTTAATTAGAACTCATAACTGTTTTTTAGGAAGGCTACAATGGAATCTATTTTATATTTAAACATCTGATAGGTACAGGTATATTCTTTTCTAAAATGTCATAAATAACCATTTTTAAAAAGTTCAATTGGAAATTAACTTTGTTGGTGACGCGATCAAATTCTGTCCCAGAGAACTAAATATCTAACGTTGTTAATCATAACTTATATTTACATAACTACTTAGGCAAATATTTCACTAAACGACCCATTGTATTGTGCAAAGTTTCTGAGTTGCACTAAGTCAAGAACTTTTTAGACCCTTTCCCCTCTTTTCAGTAGATTCATCTGAGAAAAATATTTGCAAATGTGAATCTTTTTTTAACAGAACATATATAGCCCCCCCCCCCCCAAAAAAAATCACCGTTTAAGAACTTTACAAGACTACGACAATACTGCCCTTTAATTTTCAATCTAAAGTTGAGAATGACTACATGACAAATTATAATCTGTCATGTCATTTTCAACTTTAGATTGAAAATTAATAAATGACAATATATATCTGAGGCATGTGATACCGTGATCATTGCCATGTTAGTTACTTCAGGTTTTCAATGTATAACGACCATTTTTTTTGTACATAATTAATGAATGGTCCGATTTTTAAAACATGGTAGCATTTTGAAGGTGTTATCAAACAAAAATACTCCACCAAAGGAATAAACCAAATTTTGATTATTGTACCTTGAAGTTAACATTGAAGTTCATGGGCAGCGCATGTGTTATTAAGATATTGTAAAAAGTAATTTGCATTTCATGCAAATCTCTTGGTGAATATATGCATAAACTCTCTTTATTATAATATGAAATAAAATGAATCATTCACTATAGATATTTTGAAAACATTAAAATTTTTCTTCTTTTCATTAAGGGCAGATAACTCTTCAAAAACTCTTAAGGTGCAAAGTGACTGGCTTCTTACATGTTATCTGTCATGTGAATTTGAATTTATTTCACTTTCATTGTTATCTAGAAATGCATTTTTAACTAGTTCAAGATGATTCAAAATTGATTAAAATCCCTTCATTATACATTGAATACCTTAACAAACTTGCTTGTAATTATGGAAGGAGGAAGGATGAAAAGAAGCTGGCAGAATGATGGAAAACAAGATCTTTTCATTTAAATTTCAAATAAGTGCACGTCTGAAGAGGATGCAATTGAATTTCCTTGCATGGTGAGAGGTATTTGTTCTTGAAAATAAATAGGGTAATTTAAACAGCTTTTTTACATAAATCACTGCCTTTAAGGTAGGTCGCGGGTTTGCTTTTGTCATCAATTTCGGTACACAATTTCGACGATTCGAGCGGTTGTTTTGTGCACATTTGATTATGACGTCAGTTACGTCACAAAGGCGACGTTGCATTGCTTCCCGTTTATTTCTCTGAAAATTACTTTAGCAATAGAATCTAGTCCGTACGAAGCGTAGAAAGTACATGTTATTGTCCGTAATTGTATTGTCGTAAATGTATGAAACCAGAGTATTACAAGTTTGAATTCTGCTCTGATTATATGTGTAATGTATAAGAACAAACTAATAAAACATAATAAATGCGATGCAAAATGCAAGGAATAATTAAATTTTATATTCAAAATGATACTAAACTGCTAAAGGTCAATCAAAATGAGTCAGTGTTAAATTAAAGATATGGCACGCAAAATGAAAGTTACCGTAAATTGCTAAGCCGAAAATTTGAAAGGCTGTATGTGTGCACGTAATTTGCAACGAAGGGAAGGTGCGTAATCAGGGCTAGACAAATAGAATTTTAAGGTACTTGCCCTCGGACAGGTGACCACCATAAAATTACTTGTCCCATCAAAAAAATTACTTGTCCCACCTTTTTGCACAAGATAAAGAAAAAACACAAAAATCATTTACAATAACATTCTTTTACTTCTCAACTGTCTGATACAGAAGTTCTTCACATTCATCAATGTTTACATCCTTTGTACATTCAAATTTGTGCCCATTTATGTGCCTCCCTTTTCCATCCGAAGTACTGTTTAGCCACTTTTCAATGGCAAGATCAGGTTTAAACTCTGCAAGAGAGGGACCCTCCACCATTATCTGTAATTGTGAATTTAAATTGTCCTGTGTCAAAGAAGACCTTAACCTTGTTTTAAGCAGTTTTAAACTTGAAAACACTCTCTCACACTTTGCAGTGGAGCAACTAAGACAAAGCATAAGTTCAACCACTTTTACAATGTTTCTAAGAGAAGGAACACCAGTTTGAACAAGAGAGAGATAAGCATCATATATTGGCATGGTTTTGTATGGCGCCATGTACGCTTTTAAATTCTGGTATTCTGTGTGGATGTTATCTCTCTCTTGTTCAAATATGGGGTTAAAGTAATTAAGAATAGTGTCAAGACTTTTCATTCCATAAACACACAAAGTTTCCCTATCTAAAGGCCAGGTTTTAAAATTAAAAACTAGATTCATGTCTTTCACTGGACTTTCCTTGAAGACTGAAAATCTACAATGAATAAAAAATTAAATAATGAAAAATATGTAATACTGTGACTTTTTTATAATTTGTAATATTTGAAAGACTTTTATGGTTTAGAATTTTTGAGAGAAAAAATGAATTAATTGAAAATGCATTTACTGTCTATTTTATTTATATTACAATATAAATGCATGTGAGTATGTAAATTAAAGCTATTAATTAATTCATTTGAACCTTTCATCCAAGAAAGCAATGGTTTTGTCCAAAATGTGTTGTGTTGACTTGTCCTTAAAATCCACCTCAGGACATGGTCCAGTTAGTTTCACATCACCAAAGTATCCGGTGTCCGGACTGTACTTCCCCAGAAATTCTTGCATATTTTCTCCTGGGTGATACTTTAAAGATGTAAGTCTAAGACAAGCAGCTTCCATTTTGGGAAGAACTTCAAGAATCAATAAATCTTCTGTCTGAAAAAACTGATTCAATAGGAAAAACATAAAGTCATCAATTAAGATTAAGAACTCTGATTCTCTGAATTTCTCTTCACCCTTTGGCTTGTTCACTAGACAGTTAATTATTACTTTCATTTGAAATCATAATTTATTTTTGTAAACACCATTTTTATGCAGAGCATTTGATTTGCTCACAAGTCTAAAAACAGCATATTACCTTGGACAAATCAGCTATCACTCCTAGGATGTCAAGAAGTAGAAACATAGTTTTCAAGACTGATGAAGAGCATAAATCTTTTAGATATTTCTTTGCACTTCCAGCATACACATCTGATCTTGAAGCAGCTTCACCAAGATGTGTGGTAATGACCAGTAAGTTGGTTTTGATGGCTTGTAATGCTTTACTCTGACTAGCTACCCATCTGACCTGAAATCATAAATCATTATCAGACTATGAGTATGTTGAATTAATCATACTACAATACATTGCACCAATTAAGTTTTTTAAATTATCTAAATTCAATTATCTTTTCTATAGGTACCACACTGAACAGTATACAATATTTGAAGCTTTTGTATTTATATTACAAAAAATTTATTCAATATTACATTGTTTATAATATTTTAAAATTTTCACCTCTTTTAAATCTGGGATATGGGCCAAGTCTGCTTCAAGGACTTCAGCAACTGCTTTTACTTCTCTCCTCCGTTTAGGGGATCCGTGGTAATACTTATAAATACCTTTGAGGGTTGCCTCCAGTCTGTGTAGAATATCAACATCCTTTACTGCATCCATTACAGATAACTGTAACTTGTGTGCAATACACCACACAGATATCAGATGAGAATAATCTTTCATTAACTTTCCAGCAACACCATTTTTTTTCCCCTGCATAACAGATGCTCCATCAAAATTCAAACCCACAAGGCTAGGCCCACTCTCATTTGATTTTAGAGACTCTCTGGTTAATCCAACAGATGACAAAGCTTTAAATATGCCATCAATAACACCATCTGCATGGCCATGTTCTAGATCGACAATTCCAACAAGCATAGTGACAGGGGTACTTGAACTTGGTGAAATGTATCTGACACAAACATTTTCTTGTTCCAAGTTGCTTACATCAGTAGTCCCATCAGCAAGAATGGACACAAAGTTAGATTTATGCAAGTCTTCCTTCACTGCATCAGTCATGGCATCGCAAATTGCTTTGATAAAGTCCTTACACCGATTAGCGTTTAGGTAATTATTTCCTAGATCAACACCTAACTTCTTTATCAATTGACAGTCTATTTCAAAGTCAGTATAAGGTTTTCCATATTTTGCTATCTTGTAGGCAATGTTAAACAAAGAAGAAAATTTTTCTTTTTGTAATTTATTGAGTTTGCCAATAGCAGTCATAATGGGAGTCTCTGTTACTGTTGTGGCACATATTTTTGGCTGATCTTGTTTCTGTTTATAGTAGCTTGTATATAACAAGTGAGGTTCACTTACTTGATGAGCTTTCATAGATTCCACCCTGAAAAGAGCACATCCTTCGAAAAAACTGTTTGTTTTCTTAGAATGAGCAGGTTTTGCAATGTTAGGAAATGTTTTACAATACGAACAAAACATCAGGTTTTTTTCTTCGTCAAATGTCAGCCAGGGCCATTTTTCTTCCCAAGCTTTAATATAAACCCTTACACGTTTCGTCTGATCATACTTGCTATTTTTCGATACAACGTTATTGTTGTTATCAGGTTCTGCTTTCCTTTTCTCGCCTGGAAGGCTTTTAGGGCAAGGCATAGCGTTATCTTTCCTTGGCTTAGCGACAACAAATTTCTCCATGCTGATGAATCAAAATCTACGTTAAATTGATGCATTGACACGTTTCACAGGTATACATAACAGCAAAGCGTTTACTTGATACTACTTATAGACAGCGATTATACGTACTTCGGAACCTCTCTGATTTTATCTAATGCAACATGCGCAAGTTTAGTTTCGATTTTAAGAAAGAACGAATTGAATCTTGGAATTTATTTATTTATTTTTGTTTTACGGGAGAAGCACTTGTCCGCGGGCAACTCACCCTTAACAAAAAGCTTGTCCGACCAACAAAAGTGGTCGTCCCGGGCGTCGGGCAATGCTATTTGTCTAGCCCTGGTAATGCAACCATGTTTGCTCATCACAGCCGGAAAAAAAATTGAATTTGTTATTTTTAGGAAAAAATCAATCCTCAACAATAAAAACGGATGAAATTTAATTACATGCATTTCCCCCCCCCCCCTTTTTTTTTGTTTAAATTGTGAATCTGATAAAGCCGTTCTCTATATACAGGCTAGCAAGGAATTGATTTATCATAGTGAAATGCTTTAAACATGTTAAAATAAATTTATACAAACACCTGGCATATCGGACCTTTATGACACTCTAAACAGATATTAATATACTGCATGTATTACGAAATACAAGTATGAAGTACAATTTTTTCTACAACAAAATTAAGCTGTTTGTGTATAAGTTGAATGCAAGTATTTTACATTTTGCCGATGAAAAATTGATAAAAAAAAGGAAAAAGAAAAAAAAAGGAAAGAAACAAGAAAGAACAAATGTTTGAGAGATCGGTCTATACCGTTCATTCTGACTTTGTGGGCAGAATATGAATTGCATAATACTCGAGTAGATAAGTTGCTGTTCTTCCTAACACGTGAAATGCTGAATAAAATTACAGTGTGCATCTATGTCACCTTTAAGATCTTGTATATTCCAAATATAAAGATACTTAAACGATTATGTTCAATATATGACGTTTTAGTCATAAATAACGCCATAAACGCAATATTTTGGCAATATAAAAGCAAACTTTAAAATTATTTAGCAAAAAAACTAGCGAGAAGACGTACTGATTTTTTTACCTCAATAGTTGTAATTTTTCCTCATCTTCATATTTTGAAATTTCTGAGTAATTCGTCTACGTCTTTAAAAAGTTATCCGACTCTTTCGGTAAAATTGTTTTAAAAAAGTCATTTTCCTATATATTTCTATAGTAAAGCGTAAAAATAGTACCGAAAACTATACCGCGTTTACAGTAATATAGCATTAAAACCACGTAGGCAAATTTAATAAAAAATTCAGATAATATGCCGCAAATTCTAAGGAACATTATATCAAATTTTCAGGATATGTTTTCTCGTAAGAATTTTTATGCAGTAAACCCGCGACCTACCTTAAGAAAAGAAAATATATAAAGAAAAAGTGTGTACCTCTCGCATTCATGTTAAATAGTGCCTATATACGGTGAAACGTGGACGCTACCTGTATCCCGAAGTCTGTGTAACGCAGAAGCGATAAACACACCGCGGAGGGCAAGAATTGCGATGACTATTCTGTAAGCATGCGTATCATATGACTGTTTATTTCTGTAATTATTATTTTTAAATTTTTATTCAATAAGTAATAGAGGCATACGTGAATAATCCATTTAATCAATATGTGGTCAGTGAAACATATTTTTATATAACTTCATAAATCTCAAGAAAAACAGACTAAAATACACTTGTAACTGTCAAAACACAATTTACACCCACTGTTTTCTATATAATTTTAAACTGTGCGAAGAAAAACTCCCTTTAAAGTCCAACCACAGAAAGCATGGATGTTTAGAATACTTGCATACACCAACAACTTGGTCCCATCGCGAATGCCAAGTGGATACTATATACATATCTAAAATTAAACGACATTTTTACTGGAATACGTGGGATCAGAGGCACATTTCTATATTTAGATTTTTGGGGGGGGGGGGTATTTTAGCACTATTGTTTAAGTGTTTCAAAAGGTATTAAATTACATTACTTTATTCTGCGTCACTGGTAAAGATCGTATGTACTATGTCATTAATCTCAATCTGAATATCTAACTCCCAGGAAGAAAATGAAATGTTTCCAGGTAATACATACCGTGTACTTTGTCTTGAGTCAGCTGGTTTAACTGCAAAAAAAAAATAAAAATAATTATAATAATTTATTAAAAAAAAAAATAAAAGCCTGTAGGTAAATAACTAAGTAAATGTTTAATGACCAGTCTGCTAGTATTTATACAAAGATGATACTCTACATAGAGGATATTCAATGTTTTGAAGATGAATACGGAATTTATTTCACGAGTGGGACAGGATTTTTTGATATTTTCACGAGTGCGAAGCAGGAGTGAAAATATAAAAAAAATCCTGTCTCACGAGTGAAATAAATTCCATATTCATCTACAAAACATTGAATTTTCTGTTTATTACATTTTCTTTGGTTTTCCCTTTGCCTCTGTCTTTTCTTAACACAGTGTCATAGGCTTGACGTCATGGTTGAGCGGTTAAGACGTCATAGCTTAGCAGTTGTGAGATTGAAAACATTACATAGGATGGATTTTAGCAACATATTTGGGGAAAAAATTCCAGTTTTAGCTCTATCAAGATGGTTAGTTACTATCTCTATCTTATGACAAGCCAGAAATTATTTTTTACTACTTTGATATCCTTTCACACTGTTAGAGAATATCATTTTGGTATCCTTTCTCAATGTGAGAGAATATCACTTTTATTCAATAAATAATTCACAGTATTTCACTGTTGAAAATGTAATAAATGAATTATATTCATCGGTTCACTATTTCTGAGGTCAAGGACAAGGAAGCATTTCATTTAACTCGTTTCTTGACGTTACAAAATCACAATGACTTCCACTTCACGTGATAGTTGGTCTCGCATTATTATTGGAGATATTGATCTTGAGACAAAAAATAATTCAAAGATTACTGTCGCTAAGGATTAGTGGTTAAACACTTTGTTCAACCCATAATTACATTTTCAAAGCATCAAGAGAATGTCTTCACTGGGTATAGTTGTTATTGCTTGCTAGTACTTGCTGAAACCAAACTCAAATTCAAGACTACAATTGAACGTCGTGGTTATTGTTGCCGCTTTAACTACAGCAGAGATATTTACTGGTTCTATTACGGATATCCCGTATTTTTTTCGGATTTTATTTTGAAAATATGGATTTACTTCTGGATATTACCTTATGGGAAGCAGGACACGTCACAATTTTTACATCACAATCCCTATTAATAAAGATGCTAAAACATTTGAAATCACAAAATTTTACCAAAATCAACAAGCATTCTGAGAGTATTGCATTAGCAATACTAGTCCCCTACCGGCAAGTGTAATCTGGTTCCAATTAAAAATTGAAAATGCCATAATTCCATAAAAAATCAATGAAGCGGAACGAAATGCGAACTTGATCTTTAAATCATCAAGGTAAAGTCACATGCCAAAAATCAGCTCAATATCTGCAAGCGTTTGGAAAAGAATTGCGGAAAACCCTGAAAAATTGAAAAGGTCGTAATGCCGTCAAAAATCAATGAAGCGGGACAAAATGCAAACCTCATCTGTAACTCATCAAGATACACTAACATACCAAAAATCAGCTCAATATCTGGAAGCATTTAGAAAAAAAGTGCGGAAAACCAAGTGGGACAGACTGAGAGACAGCTAGACAGACAGACGGACGGTCAGACTCAGAGGAAACCTGTAATCCCTCGGGGTCATGATTTAAACAAACTTGAATTTACACTACCTCAAGATACTTCTATATCAATGTGACTAAATATGGCTTTGTTGTTCCTGAAAAAAAGGTTTTAGAATTTTTCTCCTATACATTCACATGCTAAACCCTGATAGTGCATTGTGGCCCATCCTACTCCTAGGGGGTCATGGTTTGATTGATTGATTAGGATTTAACGCCGAGTCGGCTATATTTCAGCCATATTTCGGCGGAAAATTTATTTTATATGACCGGTTATCATGGTTTAAACGAATTTGAATCTACAATACCCGAGGATGTTTCCATATCAATCTGATTAAAGATGGCTTTGCTGTTCTTGTGGAGAAGATTTTTCGATATATATCCTATGTAAAACTTTGATCCCCCATTGTGACCCCATCCTACCCCGAGGGTCATGATTTGAACAAACGTACATCTACACTAACTGATAATGCTTCCATATTAATAAGACATTGCTGTTCTTAAGAAGATTTTTGAAGACTTTTTCCTAGATATTCCTATGTAAAACCTTAATCCCCCGTTTTAATCTATCTATTACAAAGAGAAAATTATAGACAGGGTTCTTTTCTGTAGCATGAAAAATAGAGAAAGGGGCAGGGCGGACTTTAAAAAATAATATAATAAAAGGCCCGGCCTCTATATTTCAGATATCTTACTATTACAAGGCGAAAATTTTGAACAGGGTTTATTTTCGTAGCATAAAAACTAGAGAAAGAGGCAGAGCGAACCTTAAAACGCAGTATATTTAAAGGTCCGCCCTCTATAATTTAGATGTCTTACTGTTAGAAAGCAAGCATTTTGGACAGGGTTTATTTCCGTAACATAAAAGTTAGAGAAAAAGACAGGGCGGTCCTTAAAACGCAGTATATTTAAAGGTCCTCCCTCTATTTTTCAGATATTTTACCATTAGAAAGCAAACATTTTGGACAAGGTTTATTTCCGTAACATAAAAACTAGTCAAAATGGCAGGGCGGACCTTAAACTGCAGTATAATAAAAGGTCCGCCCTCTGTTTTTCAGATATCGTACTATTACAAGGCGAAAATTTTGAACAGGGTTTATTTTCGTAGGATACAAACTAGAGAAAGAGACAGGGCGGACCTTAAAACGCAGTATAAGAAAAGGTCCGCCCTCTATATTTCAGACATCTTACTATTACAAGGCGAAAATTTTGAACAGGGTTTATTTTCATGGCATAAAAATTAGAGAAAGAGACGGGGCGGACCTTAAAACGCAGTATAATAAAAGGTCCGCCCTCTATATTTCAGATATCGTACTATTACAAGGCGAAAATTTTGAACGGTTTATTTTCGTAGGATACAAACTAGAGAAAGAGACAGGGCGGACCTTAAAACGCAATATAATAAAAGGTCCGCCCTCTATATTTCAGATATCTTACTATTACAAGGCGGAAATTTTGAACAGGGTTCATCTTCGTAGCGTACAAACTAGAGAAAGAGACAGGGCGGACCTTAAAACGCAGTATAATAAAAGGTCCGCCCTCTATATTTCAGATATCTTACTATTACAAGGCGAAAATTTTGAACAGGGTTCATCTTCGTAGCGTACAAACTAGAGAAAGAGACAGGGCGGACCTTAAAACACAGTATAATAAAAGGTCCGCCTTCTATATTTCAGATATCGTACTATTACAAGGCGAATATTTTGAAAAGAGTTTATTAAAAGTTTTCGTAGCTTAAAAAAAACTCGTTAAAATGGCAGGGCGGACCTTAAAACGCAGTATAATAAAAGGTCCGCCCTCTGTTTTTCTTTTTTACCAGATACATGTATCTCATTTACAAAGCAAAAATTATGGAAATGCTGTAAGTTCCTATTGTTTTTTTTCTTTGTTGGTTCGTGTGTTTTTCCAGGGTAAAAAGATAATTAGGTTTTTAATTTTAGGATGGACGCTAAATTAACTTAGAAGACTCTTGGAATGGCCTAATTGTGCATAAGAAATGCATATATACTACATGTAGTGTACTTTTTTTCATTTATGCTGACAAAAAGACAAATTTTCATGTCAATTAATTATCCACTCTATGTGCATTTGCAGGAGATATGTCTACTGTATTGTATATCTATGTGCAACCATAAACATCTGTCTGAAGGGACCACAGATATATATTATTATATAATTAGTAATGTTGATGACGTGCAACAAGAGAACTATAACCCCACCCCCACCCCCCATCACACACACATAAATAAAAAAGAAATAGCCGCTAAAAGTGGAAGAAAATCTAATTTAAACCAAAATCAAAATAAATATAAAAAATATTAACAAAAGAAAACGACTTGGTGATGTTTTATGAATTTTTATATCAGTACGATCTCAACAGACACTTTCCTTTTCATATTAGGGGGAAATACCTGTCAAGTTGCTCTGTAAAACTCCTCTGTAAATAGTATGGGATGATAAGATTTTCCCTAGTAAGAAGGTGGAAAAGGAGAAAATTCCGTACTGAAGCGTACTGAGAATTTCCTATGGTGGATAATAAAGCCGGGTTGTTTCTTCCAAGCTCGCTGCATGTCATTTCCGAAATTTTGCATTGCATTTCCGACATTTTTTGTTTTCATTTTACAATACAATCAACACTAAGTCTAGTAAAAATACAAAGTCTAGTAATAAAATGCAATAATTTCAATAATAAAACATGCAATTTTTGATCACCAAATTTTAATGCCCACTGAATTATATTTGTTTGAAAGCACCGAAAAACAGAATCCCCTCAACTTTGATTACTTTATTCCTTAAAACATAGTTTCTGTATGTCATAAATTCTATCTTAACTATCTGATCTCAAATTCAGTCTGATTATCTTGATTTGAAAAGATGAATAAAATTCACAACTTACACTTGTATGTGTCCGAGGATAAAATCTTCATAAGATTCTTTTAAATATATGCAGAACTTATTATTTGGAAATCAATGAATTATTCTTGATTTATTCTTTAATTTTTTTTTTTATAAGGGAAATTTCAATTCTGTTTTCATTGCCGGAAAAGTACTTTATGATGATAAATGTCAGAGATGAAAATTTTAAAATATCAGATGAAAACTACAAAATGTAGGGAATGAAATGAACAATATTTTAAAAAAATTCCAGAAATAAAATCCTAGGGTAGGCTCATTTTCCAAAAGGGGGAGGGGTCTTTAAACCCAAGCTCGTTTTTCCGGGGAAAAATATTAATGCGGGAGGAAAGTCTACAACATCAGTACTATTTAAACTATTTGACATGTTTCAGCATAATTTTGCTATACCCCACCCACCAAAAAAAAAAAGACCATTTATAATCTTTTCTTTTTTTTTGGGGGGGGGGTGTTTTATTGCTTAAAATGTTCAACTCGATTGACTTAGGTTTGATTTTG